CCCCAAACTTGTTGGACATTGTAAGCAAATGATCATCACTTATAGGAAGAATTACTAGTCATTTACTAGACCTTTAGCAACTATGTATGTGTAGAGTCTTAATTTAAGCTGTAGTTTATGCAGCTTCAAATTTTTTAAAAAATTAACATCATAAATTCTCTTCCCAGCTCCATATTTAATAAGTAATAGGTCTCGTTTTCCAGATTGCTGAATAGTCTGTAATTCTCTTCACTTCACTGGGAGCCGTTGTAGACTCAGCATTTTCCAAAGCAGGCTAATTATTTAGTTGCCCAAACATGATATAAAGAAACTAACTCACAGCTCACTGCTACAAAAGTAACTGTCTTGCACAAAAGTGGCCAAATCCTGGTTCTTCACAGGAGAAGGGAAACAAGAATCTTAGATCTCCACAGGCAATGAGTTATGTTCTAGGGTATCATCAAGACACAGAACCGGGTTGCCAAATAATTCTGCTGTTTTACTGAGCTCTGCTTTGTCACAACCAGACCACTCCTTGCAACCAAAATAACTGTTTAAAAGCTACTTGAGGTGTCTCCATTCTGTCACTGCCTGCCAGCTCGGCACACTCAGTGGGGAAGTGCAAGCACCCTGAAGGGCTGCTCTTCTCAAAGGGAACAGAAATGGGACATGACTTCACTCCCTCTCACATCAGCTGGTGCTGCTCACCACATCACACCTGTAAACTGCCTATCTCCTTCAGAGACAAAATACCTTCACATATAACCTCTGCTATGCATTTGTATATGTCAGTGATATTAAGAGGAAAAATGTGTATTGTCAGCAGAAAAGAAGGCATTTCTAAGGGAGACTTTTCACAGCAAAATTCTTGAAAGCCATGAAAGGACTGAAGAAGTCAAGTCTCAGAGTCCTTCAAGTTACTCTGAGACAGAGTCTCAAAAGACCTCAGATCTCACACACCAAAATAAGAGACAGGTTTCCAATAAAGCTCAGTATGCTGAGCTGATTTTAAAAAAACATTCATTTAATTCAATACCTGAATCAGAGTCCATCTTATTTTGAGCGATAATACCTATTGTCCAAAGAATTTGGCATGTTAACTGCTTTGCAAGATTTTTCAGAAATCTAGTTTTCCTCCTTTATGCTACCATTACTGCTGGCTGCTACCATTACTCCAATTACTCCAAGTAATTTCTGGAGGGAAATTCCTTAAAAGAACAGAAAGACTTTTTTATCCATCCAAATGTAGTCCCACTCATAATGGCAGTTGTGTCCCACATGGCCCAACTGCCCAGACAGCACTGAAAAAAAAAAAATACAGGACATGTTCAGTGGGTGAGGGATACCCACTCTGCATTTGGGGGAAAGGATGTCGGGAGAGGTGAAACTGAATTAAATAAATGATCACCTTATATTGTTTTGCCTTACACCTAAAGAGTCTGCTACCTAAGGAAGTTCTGAAAATTCTTATTAAAGAGTGAGTTTTAAAGCACCCTTCAAAGTGATAGCCCTTGTTAATAGTCCTAGGAAAAACTAAGTACACCAGAGTTCCAGATGCTTTTCACAGACACAGATATTTTGTTTCCCCATTTAGTGTCGATTTTAGCACTGGGAGGACTGATTAAAAAGAAACAGTACACTTCCAGCAACAACTTCCATGATATCCAGTTTCCTTTCAATATCTGAAACAGTGTGGATCACTTAGACTGCACTGTTACTCTCTCCCATGGTATCTCAGAAGGCACAAAAGGAGTGCACAGAACAGAGCAGCTCAGATAACTGAGATTTTAGATACCTGTCAAAGTGGAGTACAGCTGACTGAGACTGCTCAGGGTTATCTACAGCTGGCAAACTGCATGGCAGGCTTTTCATAGAGATGCCCAGAAGATGAGGGAGCCAGCACTGCACAAGTCAAGTTCTACCTGCATTTACCTATTTGCCTGTAAATGCATAAAGCTCTGCCTCTACACCCAGGTCTCACTACCATCCACAGTCAAGACCAACCCAAAATCAACCATCATGTATAACACAGACAGATACTTTTCTATAAGCATTGGTTTACATGTAAGCATTAATTTATTCTCCATTTTGTCTGGCTTTGTCTCTTTTTTTTTTATTAAAGTTAACCACTGTATCTTTACAACAGTTTAAACTAATGGTTAACCAGACAGATGAAATCTCACTAAAAATTGTTTTTGGACTGACTCAGTGAGACATGAACAACTTCAGTGAAAATACAGCCTGGAAGAACACAGAGAAACTCCTTTCAGCCTAACCCAAATGATGGGAAGCTTTCCTTCCATGCTTTTCTGCTACTAGACCCATATTTGCTTTGTAAAGTTGACAAGGGATGACTGAGTACTACTATAAAATCTCAGAAATTGGGTCATGTGCGTCCAAAGTCATGAAGTAAACTTTGCTCTTCATATAGGAAAAACTAGCAGCAGCCTCTGTATTCAGACCCAGACAACTGAATTAGCTAGCTGCATTAAGCAGACAAGTACTAACTCAGTGTAATCGTGCCTTCATCTGTCTTCCCCTGTTTTAACTACTTGAAGTTACGCTTTTTTCTTCCTTTATGAGAGGTAACTACTCCAAGGACGTTTGAAGCCTGATTTATTACTGCTGTCTTGGCTTCAGTGTAAATAAGGAAGAAGTCAGATTTTTGGATACTTGAGTGCTTACAAAAAATTTGTATTTGGAGGAGGCTGCCCATGAATTACTAGAGTAGGATTGCCGTAATAAAGCTTCCTCATGACTATAACTTCATATTCAGAAAAATATCATTCTTTATACCTGACCCAATCCATAAAAATAAACTTTGGGAAGCATCCCTCTTCTGAGGGATGTGATCCACACTTAAAACTGTAGCTAACATGTGAAGTTAAACTAGACCTAAATCCCAATGCATTAAACCAGAATTTCATAAATGTGTCTGAGCTCTTCATGAAGTTCTTGGATTGGTCAAGCAAGCAGAAGAGAAAGGAAAAACAAGGAAGCTTCAAATGCAGACTAGCTCTCTAGCAAAGAAAAAAGAGGTAATGAAGCTCAGCTTATCCTCAGTCACTAACCCATGACTTGAATAAATGAGAAATAATAGGAGAAAGCAAGATATCGACTATCTCAGTTTTAGCTACTCTGTCCTAATTGTATGTTCTGATGTGGTCACTCTCTACCCACACACTTCACTTTGGGTTACATCGTACCAAAAAGCATTTCAATAGATGCTTAGAGAATCACCCAGAAATCTAACAGAATAGGCCGGACCTTGAAAGTCCACACTCTAGCACATAGCAATCAGTCTTCAGGAGAGGTACACAGTATAACCTTGGATAGGTCACTTGGTTTATAAGATTTAGCTTTCCACCCATAAAATTGAGTATCATTTCTTTTATTTGATGAGTAGGGGTTTTTTGCTGTAAGCACTTTGGGGCAGAAACCATTGCTTTGCAACATTCTAGCAAAATGGGGAAACAACCACCCACTGCCACACAAATGTCCATAGGTACAAGTTTGAAAGAACACGTTTGTGATAACAGAATTGTCCAAATAGACTACTTGAGATTAATGTCCTTTGTGTCCATAGCTATCAATTTGCAAAACTAAATCTAAATAAACCCACCTGTTCAAAAACAAATTCATTGCCTTGTTAGCCCAACCTTTTTTGTATTTTCACTGCTCTACAGGGTTCCAAATAAAGTTTGGATTTTTTTTTTTTTTTACTTAATTTGATCTTCAGTCTTCGTGTGGTTTTGTTTTTTTTATATAGAATGATCCAGGTTGGAAGAGACCGTCAAGATCTCCCAGTCTACCCAAGGACCCAACACTTCCACTGAAACCCCTAACACATCATCCAGCACCAGATCCAGCTGCCTCTTGAACACTTCCAGGGACTGTGACTCCACCACCTCCCTGGGTAACCTATACCAATCCCTGACTACCATAATGGTGAAAAAATGTATCTAATACCTAATCTGAATCTCCCCTTCCTCAGTTTAAGGCCATTTTCTCCAGTCTTCTCACTGCAGACATGGCAGGAGAGACCAGTCCCGGTCCAGCTACAACCTCCTTTCAGGGAATCGTAGAGAGTGATGATGTCCCCCCTGAGCCTCTGACTCTTGAGACTGAACAAACCCACTTCTCTAGGCTGTTCCTCAAAAGACAAAAAACTTAATGTATTTCACCACTTTTCCATAACTGTTGCTCCTCTGCTGCTGTAACTACATAATCATTTGTAACAAATTTGGGTGTCAAGAGAGCTGTTGGACTCTACTTGTGTTTCATTCTCCCCTAGGCTTTGACAGAGCAAAGTGTACACTCTGCCTTTCAACTGATACCAAATGGGGACCTTGACACCAAGGTTTTGAAGAGTTACCTGCCCTTGCTCAAGCCTCATTATCTCTCTGAGTACACAGCATTGGGACAATGAAGGCTGTTGCTTTCAAATCACCCATACACTCAGAAGGAACATTTGCCATTACTGTTAGTCTACCGTCCAGAGTGCCAACACCACCATACAACTCCAGAAAAAAAGAGAGGGAGGAAGGGAAAGGGGAAGGAGAAGGGGAAGGGGAAGGGGAAGGGGAAG